CACACACACACACACACACACACACACACACACACACACACACACACTCTCACTCAATTAATAAAACAAAAAAGTTCATACTCAAACCAAGCACAGAGATACTGAGAGAGTAAGAGAAATGATTAATGATTTGTAGCATGATGGCCTTGCTTGGTTAGAAAAAGTTACAAATCTGTAAATTCATAAAATAAGTTCCTAAATAAATTCATAAATAACTTGGCAGATATCATGCATTTATACAGTGGTTCTTAATTATAAATGCTAATCGACTATTTCTTACCTACTGTGGAGTCATTGTTTACATACTGAGAGAGTATGTCCTCATCTGCTTGCTGGAGTGTCTCATTAGGGGCAAAGTCTTTCTTAGAGAGTGTGCCACTCTTTTCAAGGACAGTTGTCTGGTTTTCGAGCTGATCTGAAACTGTAATTCCAGCTGGCTGGTAGTTTGTATGGATATATGGCTCTTCAGGGAGCATATATCCTTTACTAAAACACTCCAGCAACCACTTTGCTCCCACTACATGAGGCCTACAAAAAGAGCACAGGAAAGCTCCAGTGTAAACAAGGAAGAAAGACCATTATCCCATTTGCCACGCCTTCCCACAGCTTCAGACATACAAATTTAACCCAAATCATCCCAGTACAAAGTGTTCTGAATTAAAGACTGACAGGACCTGTGGGATGATTTGCTCCAAAACTGCCTCACGTCATCCTCGAAATCTCCCATAATTACATGAGTTACATCTTCATTAAGTTGATTAAATCGAACTCCACCTCCACTGTTAATGAGCCTTCTCAGCTTATCTAGCTTTCTGCCACTAAAACCACAAAGAAATATCTGCAAAGAAAAGATGTGATTTGGATTAACATATCCAAGAAGCTTTTTTATCAACAACAACAAAAACAAAATGTAAAAGGAAACTATCCACTGTGTATAAACAACACACTTTATTACATTTTGGAATATATAAGGAATAAAATATGTGCTGTCTGAAACTAATATGTGTACATACGTCCTGGCAGCTAGCAAACACCTGGGCTCTGCACAGTCCCGTCCCATCCCCCCGTCCCAAAGTGCTAGACACCATCCCTCACAGCTTTTCCATGGTGCTGGGGAATCCAAATCCCAGCCCCCATGCTTTCACAGCAAGTACCTGACCCACGCAGCCATCTCCTCAGCCTGAAACTAGTCATTTTAATCTTCTGTTTACAGTCCCATCTCTATTACCTCTCAGCAGATACCTGGAGGATTGAGGCCTCAAATTACAAGACAGACCTCAACATCTTTTAAATTTTGGTGCACAACTTGTTAAAATATTTTCATTGTGTGTGTGAACACGCACACGTGTCACATTTGTGGAGGTCAGAGGACAACAAGGGACTCAGTTCTCTCCTTCTACCTGATGGGTCCCAGGAATAGAACTCAGGTCATCAGGCTTGGTGCATGGCAGAGCTCTTTCTAACATGCACAATGCTCCTTAAGTTGTAAAGGAATAGCTTCTTGTAAATGTAGCTACAAAGATACACCGTAGTGCACTGTAAACGCAGCAACCAGGCTTACATGCACATTTTCAGTCAGTGCTGATCAACCACAAGACCTAAGCAAATTCCTTAAGGCTTTGAGCCAACCCTTCCTACCTATATCTTTCCTGCAATATTTTTTCTACTTGAAGTGATCAAAAATAACAAGTCAAAGAGCTGAGCACAGTGCTTTGAAGAAACATGCATACAGGGATTTTAAATATGAGTGTATGTTTAATCCAATTTACCTAAAATGTAATGTTTTCACCCATTTTAAAAACTTCAAAAATGACATTCTATTTCCATTATGTCCCAAGCCATCATTACTAAAATACAACCTAACAAAAATCAGTAATCAAGTACTTTCCATATGGAAAGAATAATTCAAAGTGACAGCTAGAATTTGTATGTTCTAATATCAAAGAAAAAAAAGATTACATAAAGTATCTTTCTGTCCCACCAGTAAGTTGATAAATCTTATAAGGATAATTAGCCCTTAAAAATAAAACATGATTTAATTTTGCCTACTTTGAGAAAGAATGTATGGCCTAATCCACTCTACTAATAGCACTTTATAAAGTATGTGGGCCTAGGAGATATAATATTTCCATCACGGATCGTATATGTACACACTAAAAAATGTAAAAAACCCAAGAGTAACTGAAGAGAAAAATAATTATAAGTCAAACCTTTTTCTGTTTTTATTTCTGAGGACTGAACCCAAGCCCTTGTACCTAGACAGTAATGTCTGTCCAGGACTCTGGAAAAGCATTTTCTTGCATTTTAAAAATATACACATATGTGGGCATGTCACAGAACAATCTGTGGGATTAGCTTCACTCCTTTACCACATGGGGTACTGCAGACTGAGCTCAGGTTGTCAGGCTTGGCAACAAGCACTTTATCCACATGGTCCTAAAACAGGATTTTAATTTTCTAAGTATTATCCTCAAGACAATACCCGTTTTAGTTATTTGTGGAAGTGATATTTTAAATAACATAATGTAACATGAAATGATTAGTGGCATTAATGTATTATAAATATCGTATGATAGCTATAAATAAAATAGCTTTATTATAAGTGGTACGACTGCAGAGAGGAGCTGAGGAGTAAGACAAACTTTGAAGTGTACAGAAGAAGCTACATCCAGGCACAGCCTCATGACTACAGAATGAGCATGGTGAGTGTCAGCTTCTTCATTTTGATAAGGAACAAGTCCAACTATCGGGAGTCTTCAGACTCAGGCTAAGGTTGTATGTCTAAACCTCATCGTGTAACCCAAGCTGGCTCGGGTCTGAAGATGACTAGCCCTTCTGAATTTGTTATGTAAGAAAGACATACCCGACAGCCATCTAGTAAATCTTCAGGTGCTTGAAACATACTGATATCCACATTTTCTAGGTCTTCAACTGTACATTCAAGTTTGCTAACAGTTGAACAGAACACTGTTTCATTTATACAGCTGCCATTTATGTTGGAAATATGGCTGACATCTGCGAGAGTGCGACCTACATATGTAAAAGAAAATAATAAATTCATGAGGAAAACAAGTCATTACAGGCTTCCTTATAAATTAACTTTTCCTATTAAGGGGTATGAACAATTAATAAAGATTCAGGTCGTCACCCTCCCCCCCCCTCCCCCCCGGGAGGCGCCGCCTTGCTAGGCCACAGGTAAGGACATTGCAGCCAGTCCTGAAGATACCTGATACCAGATGGAAGGGGAGGAGGACCTCCCCTATCAATGGACTTGGAAGGGGGCAGGGAGGAGATAAGGGAGGGAGGGTGGGATTGGGAGAGAAAGAAGAAGGGGGCTACGGTTGGGATACAAGTGAATGACCTGTGATTTAAAAAAAAAAAAAAAATTCAGGTTTTTACTAAAATCTTAATGACAAAGTATAAAAAATAAAATTAAGTTTAATCATTAAAATAAAATTACATTAATATTTCTTAAAAGTGGTTTATAACCCATAAAAACATACAGCTTCTGGCTTTAAGGTCCAAGAAGCTTACATCTGAAAAAAAAAATTATAGGAAGATTTTGCCAAATGGCACTTCTAAAATAAAAGAGATCAGTACTGACTGAGTATGCTGGCCTAGCTGACAGATTAGAAAGGGATCAAGGCCTTTCCTTTTAAAGCTTTAGAAAATTGTCTCTATTATTGGTGCGTGGGGGTGTGAGTGTGGGTACACAGCCACAATAGAACTCCTATGGAGGTCAAAAACAAGGCTGTGGAGTTAGTTCTTGCCTTTCACCTTTTACTTGGTCCTAGGGATTCAGGTTGCCCAGTTTGTACATGAAAGCACTTTAGCTGCTACTACACCAGGAGATTTTGGTTTGGTTTCTATGATCTAGACCAGTGGTTCTCAACCTGTGGGTTTAGGCCCTTTGGGGGGGGCTGAACAACAGTTCCACAAGGGTCCCCTAAAACACTGTGAAACAGATATTTACACTGTAATTCATTAACAATAGCAAAATGAGTTATAATTCACCACAACATGAGGAACTGTACTGAAGGGTCACAGCATTAGGAAGATTGAGAACCATGGCTCTACACAGCTCAGGGTCCCCTTGAACTCAAAGTTCCACCTGCCTCTGCACCCAGTGCTGAAGGTATGTATCACCACACCTGGCCTTTGCTTTGCTTTGCTTTTTTTTTTTTTTTTTTTGAGGCAGGGTCTCAAGGAACCCAGGCTGGCTTTGAACTCTCTTTGCAGCCAAAGAAGACCTTGAATTCCTGATCCTCTCATCTCCAAACTTCTTTGAGCTGAGATTACGAGTATGTGGCAACCATACCCAGTTTTCGTAAGCACTCTACCAAATGAGCTATTCCCATCCCTTCATTTAAGGAGCAGGAAGAAGATGAGAGAGGAAGGGTAGGATTGGGAGGGAAGGAGGGAGGGGGCTACGGCTGGGATACAAAGTAAATAACCTGTGATTAATATAAAAAATAAATTAAAAAAAGAAAATGAAAAAAATGTACTATAAAACTTTAGTAACAAATTTAAGATTAAAAAAAAAAAAAAACTGCCAGAAACAGTGAGACAAACCATGAACAGGAAACATGATGAAATGCAGATCTATATACACACCTTCTTAATATATTAAAAAACAGGCACTGCAAAGAGATTGTCTGTTTCTGAGACAAGTTCTCACAGTAGCCTGGAACTCAAGGCAATCCTGCTGCTTAAGCTTCCCAAGTTCTAGAAATACGGGAATGCTACTCCAAAACAAACAAACAAAACACCCTGAATTTTTATGTAATGATTATCTATAACCAACAAGGTAAGGCAATAAAGAAAAGATAGGCCGGGCATGGTGGCGCACAACTTTAATCCTAGCACTCAGGCAGAGGCAAGTGCATCTCTGAGTTCAGGCCCGCCTGATCTACAGAGGGCGTTCTAGGACACCCAGGGTTACACAGAAAAACCCTATCCTGAAAAGTCAACAAATCAACCAACCAATCAAACAAACAAAGCCCTATTTTTCTTAAGCCCATCCACTAGTGTTCTTAATCCTCTTTTGTGTGAATTAGGATGAGGGAAAAAAAAAAAAGCAATCACTCATTCTAAAAGGAATACAAAAGAAGTTCTGTACAGCTTTCTACACCACCTGGCTATTTCGTTATTTAGCTCTACCCAGAGGCACTGGGAGAAAACAGAAAGTCCCTACTACAATTCAATGGTCGATTAGCAAATCAAATCCTTCACTTTTTCTTGGTGTTTAAGGACTGAGCCCCTGGGCTTGCATTCAGAAGACAAAACCTTTCCCACTAAGCTACATGAGCCCAAGCCATCAATTATCATGTGGATAAGTAACTTTTCTTTCATCTCAAAGAGACTTACTTTCAGCTGCTGCATTGTTCTGACCCGTAGGAGTGGAAGTATCAGGCACGGTCTTTACTTCTGCTCTGGGTTCAGCCTTATATAGAGACTCATCCTGACAAAAGCCTTTCTCAATACTGTCATGAAGCCACTGCAGAATCACACAGTGCACATTCCACCTCTTGGCACACTCATACTTTTGTCCTGTTGTGTTCAGCACAAGAGAAATGCAGAAATATTTAGATGTTAGTTCATAGGAAATTATTTTTTTAAACTTAACCTGAAATACATGATTATAAAGTTTACCAGTAATTACTTTACCCTCTCAATCAATCAATCAATCAATCAATCAATCAATCGCTCATTCAATGTATCAGAGTGTTTTGTCTGCATGAATGCCTGTGCCCTACTTGCATGCCCAGCGCCTGAAGTGGTTAGAAGAGGGTGTTGGATCCCCTGGGACTGGAATTACAGACAGCTGTAAGCTGACATATGAATGCTAGGAATCAAACATGGGTCCTCTGGAAGAGCAGCCTGTGTTCTTAACCACTGAGCCATGTTTCCAGCCAACCCCCTTTTGGAAACAGGATCTCACTATGTAGGCTTGGCTGACCTGAAACTCACCAGGTAGACCAGGTTGAACTTGAACTCACAGAGATCCGCCTACCTATGCTTCCCAAGTTCTGGGATCAAAGACATCACTATTATGTGGTTTTAATAAGAACACATAATAGAACTGCAGACACTATAAATACACGCAGTAAAATAAATACTATCTTTGACTAGCCTATACAAGTGCCAATAGGATTTGACTAAAAGTGAAGAATAGGGAGATAAACTATATTGAAAATTTCTTCCAGTAAAGAATATACTATTAAATATAGTTTTAAGTAGTATTATAAAAAAACTGAAGTCAATATGTAATGCCAAAGGGTATTTTGGCATTGTTCTTGTTTTGAATTTTCTGTTGTGTTTTCTAGCTTTGAACTTTTGATCTTCCTGCCTCCACCTCCTACGACACAACTCTACTTTGGTATGCCATAGAGTCAATGGAGCAGGGCCTAGTGGTACAAGTTTATATCCCAGCTACTTAGGACTACAAGACAGGAAGATCACAAATCTAAGGCCAGCGCGGTAAACTTGATAAGATCCTGTCTCCAGCAGAAAGTAACGAAAGGACTAGAGATACAGCTCAGCTCAACAACTGCACTTGCCTCACATAAGCAAGGCCCTACGTGCAATCCCTCATACCTCGAGCAGTCAACAGATAAACTGCCTTCAGTTTGAGAAAAAACTACAGCAACTATCTCATTATAATTGTCACACTAATCTCTCACCAAATGACAACTATCAAGTAACTAACAATTATTTCTCAAATACTACTTATCAAGGTAGCTTAGTAAAACAGTACAAATACAAAAAAAGTTACTAAAAGCTTTAAGACTCTTCTCATCCATTTGTGTACATTTCAGGGGCATTAGTAAACTATTCCCCAGAATTAGGTTCTTGGAATATCAAAAACAACAATAATTTTAAAGAGTTTTCACTGGTCATGCTTTTTATACTTTTACTTATTTCGTAACCTGTACAATGTATTAGAAACTCTACTTCATAGACTACTTGGGAAATGTGGCACAGTGGTAGAGCACTTGCCTAACACACACACAGCCCTGGGTTCTACCCTTACCACAGGACCCTCACCCCCTACCCAATCCAAATTTACTACGATCAATCAAGTCATCCCATTAAGTGTTCAATCAAGCCTCTTAAATCAGTCATGCTAGAGAAATGACACTTAGCCACACATATTAATTCTCTTGTTGAAGAGTTTTGGTTTCAGTCAAGGTCTAGCAGTCAGGTGATGAAATGTCACTGACAGTTTTGGATAAACACAAGGACGGTCACTTAATTTTTCTAGACTGTGACCCAAATATTTCTGAAAGAATTTAGAAGGTTAAACACACATACACACACAAACACAAAACATAACCTAGGGAAATGACACGTCAGAAGCACACGGTGGCCTACAGAAATGTAAAGTGTTAGGAATTCCACATTAGACTGTTTCTAACGCAGTTTTACCTTTTGGTTCTTGCACAATGAGGTGTGTACACTCGTTCATCTTCAACTGCCCCATGTACTGGCCTCCATGCTTAGCCACAAGTTGCTGAACTGTCTTTCTCTGTATACCATTTAAGCCAGTCACACAAATAATGCAACCAAGAAAAGTAGGACACTTAAAGTCTTCCATGTTTATATCAGTGTATTTTGTTATTTTCCTGAAGAAAATAAATGTAAAAAGAACATAATAAACATTCAGATAGTTTTAAATACCACTGCTTTCCTTGTTTGTTCCTTTTTTTTTTTTTTCTCCCGGTTTTTCAAGACAGGGTTTCTCTGTGTAGCCTTAACTGTCCTGGACTCCCTTTGTAGAACAACATTAGCCTTGAACTCAGAGATCCACCTGTTTCTGCCTCCCCGAGTGCTGGGATTACAGCATGTCCCACCACGTCTGCTTCAGTTTTCATTGTTAGGATTATAAACATTTCTGCGAAAGGAAGACTAACATTGAGAATTACACTAACTATTCACCAAGTTCAGTCTCATGTCTCTAATAAAATTTATATTTCAAAAAAAGCCTGAAGACAATCTTAGAGAAAGCACTATTAACTCTTAAGTCCTTGCTAAAAAGTGGGGAGCACTTGGCAGAATTATAAGATTGAATCTCTACTTAAAAACCTAATGTTCAGCCAGGTATGGTGGCGGTAGCGCATGCCTGTAATCCTGGCACTCTGGGACGCAGGCAGACCACTGTGAGTTCGAAGCTGGCCTGGTCTACAAAGCCATTCCAGGACAGCCAGGGCTACACAGTGAAACCCTGTTTCGATAAAACAAACAAAACTTAACGTTCAACAAAACTTGGTTGTCTGGTATAAAATAGAAAAATTCTTCCATTATTCTTGATGGGTAAAAGTAGTGATTTTTGGCAGAGAGCCAACAAAAATATCACTGCTATTTTGTTGGCACAATAAACAAACTTGCTAACATCATCAGGCTGTTACTAACTGGGAAACATATTGAGTACATGATGGTGCTGAAACGTGTAGAAAAACAACATAGGATGCTAATTTAGATAACTGGACTTACGACTGTAAACTGATTTTAGAGAAAAACTTAGGCATACCTCCAAACTTTGTGAGAAGAACTGTTACCTTGTTCTGATCTCTACATACATCTAATGTCCAAACCAGGGCATAAAATAGGCTTAATTTACACTGAAAAATCACATCTCAGCTGTTGACATATATAAATGCACATTTAATCTTAACTCTCCAACCCTAAGGAAACAGAGCTGCCAAAGTAGCTAATTTATTCTCCAAATTAATATTAGGGCACAGTATTGCACGGTGCAAAACAAAAGCCAAACTGATTTTTCTCAATTATCTTAGATGTATTTGCTGCAGAAAACAATTTCATTATCAAAGCATTTGCCCTCTAGCTAGTGCTGAATCTATGGCCCATCTTTCCCTAACAGTGGCATCCTGTGACAGCATTTACAGACTCTGCTCTTCTGTCACTGGAGAAATGAGCAAGGACCCATTTTGTCTCTCAGTAACAAACCCAGAATGTAATACCATAACGTTTCCCCATGAAAACACAAATTAATCGAAAGCATCATTTTCTCAAATACATAAAGCATACAAATGTGACTTACTCCTCTTGTGACTTCTCCCAAAGTGTTTTTACCCAAGAAGGAAGCAAAATAGGTTTCTTCAGATTAGCAGCAACTAAATATTTTTTGCTCCCAACTTCTCCTGCAATAAGGTGAGTGACTGATACATTAAGGTCTCTATATACTCGTCCACCCATCATTTGTACATATTTATGAACTTCTTCCTATAGAGAAGAAAACACATTAATTCTGGAGAAAACAATAGATCTTCTGTTTTTTAAAAAAATCCCACATATATGTATATATGTGTGTGTATATATATCTGTATAAAATTTATGTTTAAAGTTTATGTTGTATGAATGTTTTGCCTGCATGTGTGTCTACGCACTATGCATGCCTAGTGCCCTTGGAGGTCAGAAGGCATCAGATCCCCTGAAACTGTAGTTTCAAATGGTTGTGAGCTACCAACAGGGTGCTGAGAACCAAACCCAGGTCCTCTCTGTAAGAGCAGCAAGTACTCTTAACTGCTGAGCCATCTCTCCAGCACCCATAGATATCTTTTACTGTTGCTAGCCTGAATATACAAATGTTTTTACCACTAAAAAATTAAGTAATTAACCAAATAACTTTTGGAAAGATGTGTATGAATTTTAGATTTGAAAATAATTATTTGTAGGCTAGTAGAATGCAGGCTGTATTTATCTATTTAGGATTACATCTGTATATACATACATGCATAAAACAATGAAAAAAGTTATGAATTTGAAAGAGAGCACGGAATGGTGTGTGAGAGGATTTGGAAGGAGGAAAAGGAATGAGAAAATGATGCACTTATGAAGTCTTCAAGTCGTGAGTACCGTGTGCACAGCCCTTCCCAGGGCGAGTGAGTGCGGAGCCAGCTGCCCCTTCCAGTGCTTACCCTCCTATCTTTATCCAGGCTCGTACACGATACGGTTACGTCAGACATAATCATATTGTAAACTGGATGCTCGGCTCTTGGAACACACTGCTGGTGGCGCATACAAAATGTGACTACATGAGGACCAACAATTCTGCAGCCAAGCTATAAAAAGTTAAGGAAAAGATCACAAAATTAAATTTGGAGCATTGGCCAGTCATTTACAGGAGCTGACGAGCACTGTGGGAAACCATCAAATGTCAGAAGGAAAAAAAATCACGTAATTCCCCAAGCAAGCACAATGAGCATAAAAACACACATGACCAAAAGCAAAGAACACAAGAGCCCTTCATTCATAACCGCCATCAAAATTTCAACCTCTTAAAACAAACTTAGTCCTTTTTATAAAAACAAAAAAACAAAAACTTGGGGAGATGGCTCAGCACTTTAGAGCACATGCTGCTCTTACAGAGGACTTGGGTTTCGTCCTAGCACCCACTTGGTAGCTCACAACCAGCTGTACCAGGGGATCAATGCCCTCTTCTGACTTCCAAGGACAAGTATGAGCATGGTGCACCAACATGCATGCAGGTAAAAATTCTTACACATAAGTAATAAATATATTTTAAAGATTTATTTTCATTTTTTTTAATTATATGTATGTGTGTGTCCCCTTATATAAATACATAGACATTTTGTGCAAGTAAATTGAAGGCTGGCGATAGTGGATCCCTCTGTGGCTGGCATTACAAGGAGTTGTGAGCCACCAGACATGGGTGCTGGGAAACAAATTCAGGTCCCTTTAAGAGCAGTACATGCTCTTACACCAAGGCATCTCTCCAGCCCCAAGATATATTATCTTATAGCAACTGAGAAACATTCAAGTATGCTTTTCAAACAATGCACCAGCCAATAAAGCAGCTCAGATGTCTAAGAACCACAAGCCCAAAGAATTCCAAGGTACTCATAGTACTCAAGATAGTAAAGAATTCACAAAACAGGAGACCACATGCACAAATAAAAAAGAAAGGGACAAGAAGGAAAACCCACCACCAAATAAGTATCTTAGAAACAGCAAACCTGTTTAAGGTGATCAAAAACAGCACCACTGAAACGATCGCAGATATAAAGGGACTTGTCATTCTCCTTTATCTTCAATGCTTCCTCTTCTGTAATAACCTGAAGATAATTTTCTGATTGTAATTCCTTTATTGACTGAAAGAACAAAGAATAAAAATTAGTTCCCTAAACTTAAGCCCTGCCAACTCTTAAAAGCCCATTTTAAACCCAGCTCTTTCCTAATTAAAGCATTACTTCTCACCTAAACCATTTCAGAAGCCTCTGAATTAGTCTCTCCGCGTAACTTTGATCTATTCTTCACACAGAAGGTAGTAATCCTTTTTAAGAAACCAACCAGGGGCTGGAAAGATGGTTCAGTGCTTGCTATGCAAGAATGGGTATCTGAGTTTGGATGCCCAGCACCCCTATAAAAAGCCTGGTGTGAAGGCTCTACTTGTAATCCCAACACTGGGGGGCAGAGACAGGATTCAGGTGGAATCCCTGGCCAGCCAATCTAGCAAACCAACGGGCTCTACAACAGTGAGAAACTCATGCTCCCAGACCCATACAAAATTCAGTCATGCTACTTTCTGCTCAAAACCCTCTGACTTTCCACCACACTCAGACTTAGAGGGTCTGGTTTTGGTCCTACTTCTCTCGGTTTCCACCTGACATTATTCTTCATTTCAATAAAGTCTGCTTAAATGTCAATTCCTAGAGACACTTTTCTTGACCATGATGGGTTTGTTTTGCAGCACAAGGAACCAAAACCAGGGTTTTATACACACTATACAAATGCTTGACAACTAACCAACACTCCCATGGTCATTCTGCTTTCTAGAATGCACTTCCTCTGGGTAGAATATGTTCAATAAAGGAAAAAAACAAACAAACAAACAAACAAAAAAAAGCCATTCATTCCTACAGGGAAGAAGTAAAAATATACATATTTAATATAATTAGTGTTTGTTTGTTTTGTTTGTTTTTTTGAGACAGGGTTTCTCTTTGTACCTTGGCTGTCCTGGACTTGCTTTGTAGATCAAGCTGGCTTCGAACTCAGAGATCCTCCTGCCTCTGTCTCCCTGAATGCTGGGATTACAGGAGGCAGAGGGAGGCGGATCGCTGAGAGTTCGAGGGCAGCCTAACAGTGTAAGTTCCAGGACAGCCAAGGCTACAAAGAGAAACCCTGTCTCAAAACAACAAACAAAAAGCAAAAAACAAAAACAAACAAAAAAACACACTTCACTGAAAGTCGATCTACACAACATGTAGCTCCTAAAAACCTACATGACTTCAACATTCCATAATACTCTTCCCCACCTCTGATTCTGTACGTTACCATACTAACCTTATCTAGACAGACACCCTGGATATAAATGTTTCCTCTCATTGAACCTTCTTTCCCTAGATACTCACCAGCATTTACTTAAATATCCTGCAATGAAGTTTTGGCTTCTTTAAAACCTCAGTTATGTTATATAACTATATTTTGTTCTAATCCAAATTTGGTATTTTAATTGGGCTATAGTTTGTCACAGCTGTTAATTGTCTCATGTGGGGTGTGGCATGTGGCATGTAACAGTTTGGAAAGACCAGAGAGACCCATGGTGTGGTGACTTGGAACAGACAGGTAGAGAGAAAGGCTTGGGGTACAGCATCTTGGAGGAGACTGCTGGCTGTTCGCTGTTGATGGAGATTGGTGTAGCCCTAAAAGAACCCACTGACCCTAAACAGATTGGAGAATTCAGAGATCTACGGCCCCTCTCCCCACTTCTCTCTCCTACCTAAGGTTGATGGGGTTGGTGGAAAGGATATAGAGATTAAAATAGAGTTTAAAAACGAGCATTACAATCTCCACCATAAAGCCTACCTCGATCACGTTCAGTTTTAAGTTGTAACCTTTCCATTTTTTCTCTTCCAATATGGTCTGGGAATCCTTAAACTGTTCAGGCTTTTCATCATCTTTCTGTAGTACGTGACCCCTTACAGAGGCACCAGGTGTGGTGGCACACATCTGTAATCTCAGTGCTCAGGAGACTGAGGCAGGACAACAGACTTCCAGATCGGCCTGAGCTACACAATGAAATGCAGTCTCAAAACTTTCACTGGTCCCCATACTATAGAGTTTTGCTTGTCACCTGCTTTCTACCTATTTCTCGCTGCGTATATGCTGTAACAGAGAGACATTTGCTTGTTCTGATCATTGATACACCTAAGTATTAAGAGAGAGGAAAATCTGTCAAGTGATATACACTCAATTGATGGTTGCTGGGTGAGTGAACTTCAAAAGAACTTTAACAGCCAACTGCTTCTCAAACTTAAATATGCAAAACTAGGGGTTTTGTTTAAAGTGCAGACGATTCTGTCACGTGCATGTTGGCCCTCCAAGACTGCATTTCTAATAGATTCCCAAGCTACAAAAATATTATTAGGGTCTGAATGACAAAGCTCGAAGCCACACCCATCATCTCATACTATACCATATATACACTATACTATATATACTGCGAATATATATATATATATATATATATATATATATATATATATATATATACACACACACATATACAATGAACCGAAACTATTACACTGTGACTCAAAGTTCTTCACTGCTCAAAGGATCAATAAGTTTGGTAGACAAAACAACTGTCATTCGGAGTCAGAAAACTGGGAAGATGGCTCAGTCAGTGAAGTGTTTATTGTGAAAACACAAGGAACTCTGGATTCCCAGAGCCCACATAAAGAAGCTACCCACTGCCTTGCAGTACTCCTGCAATCCCAGCACTGGGAAGGATGAGACTGGAGGAGCCCTAGAGCTTGCTCGTCAGCCAGTTTAGTGCAACCAGTGAGCTTCAAAAATATAAGGTGGAAAGTGACATTAGAAAACACCTAACATGGAGCTCTTGGCTCCACAAAAACCCACAAGACCACACACACACAGACATACATGAGACCGAGAATGGTAAGTCAACAGTCAATTGTCCTAATAGATTTCAATCCCCACAAAAACATAATGCTATACTCACATTAAAAAAAAAAAAAAAAAAGTATGTAAGAATGATATATCTGGATTAAGCACATGCTGTAGCAAAACTCCAAGACATAAAATCCAACAAATCAAATACATTTAAAACTTGAAAATGAGCTCAAGCATCAAATAAGACATATCCAATTAATCTTACCTCAAGAGCTTTAAAAAAACTTTCTGAATTGTCTGAAGACTTTAAAAACTTCACAAGAAACGGTTCTTGGTCATTTCTGGACATAGCTGAACTGTGAAAATAAGGCAGTCAATAACAGCAAAAATAAATTAGGTAGGCAATTATATGTTTAAATCATTTTTTTTTCCTTTCGAGACAAGCTCTAGCTGTCCTGGAATAAAGACCTGTAGGCCAGGCTGGCCTCGAAATCAGAGATCCACCTGCCTCTGACTCACAGGCGTGCAAATCAACTATTTTCTTATACAAGCAAGAATGCCTAAGAAACAGACATCAGGCTTTGTTCATGAATTCATCCAAGATGTTTACAAAAGACCGTGGAACATGGGCAAAGTCGAAGAAAGAAACAAAAAACAGGGCAACACGAACCCTTGCAAATCTGTGAACAAAATTAACGTCCCTGATGGAATACCCTGAAGCCCTTGGTTTGGGGCCCCTCAGTCAACAGACATTCACTTTCACCGGGCTTATAGACAACAGAGGGCGGTTGTGGTTGTGGTACCCACCGCCCGCAAGATTTGCTCCTAAGTCAACCGACTTTAAACTCAAGCAGCCACCGTGCAAGGTCGTGCACGCTCGCCCGAAAGGCCCACGCGATTGTCCCCAGGTCCCAGGGAAAAGGTGGGCTTCCCCGGTGTCTGAGGCCCACCCGCCGGTTACTAGAGGGCTTCTAGAGCCGCGAAGGCCGCAGGAGACGCCGGCCGGGAGGAGCTGGCTCTCGCTCACCTCGGTGGAGCCGGAAGGCCCACGGGCATCAAGTCGGGGGGCGCGCGGCCGGCAAGACTGCGGCTGGGGTCGGGCGCCACCCCGGCGCGCACCCCCCGCCCCCGGCGGCGGCCCCAACCCCAAGCTAACGCTGCGGAACCCGGAAACGCCAAGGCCGGGAACCGACTTTCGCGCCAACCGAGCGGACGCGACACCCTTTCCGGAGGAAGTGGCGTCATCGGGGCCTGCGCAGGGAACTGGAGCAGTCGGAAGTGGGCGTTCCTGGTGCCCTCTTTCCGGAGAGGACCTGGAACCCGCGCTTTGTGTTTTCTCGTCTTGGCTTGGCGGGAGCTCACGGCTCAGGGGGAGGGTTTGCAGGCCGACAGACCGATCAGCGGAAATCCAGAACGTGCAGAAAGAAGGCCACGGGTGGAGCAGGGGGTCACGCGGCGACTTCTCCCCAGCAGTGCACGAGAAAACACACCGTGAAGCTAATAGCGGCTTCTCCAACTTGAGAAGTGTTCAAATAAAGGCATGTTTGTTATCACGTACTTTGTGGGGGGGGGGGGATAATTATTAGGTCGAGGTCTTTCTGGCTCCTCTGACTGAATACAATCACTCCTTACCAAGGCCAAAAACAGTAACTGGAAGAAAATGATGAAAGACTGGCTAATTTATTGATTGGGTGGTTTGATTTCATGTTCAGACTTCTATTTCTAGATATCCGCTGTCATGTATGTAGCTCATTAGATTAACTTTGCTGTACAGAGAACCTTTTAACTTCATGTAGTCCCATTTCATTTGTCGGTTGCTGTATTTCCTAGGACCCTATTCAGAAGGTCCTTGCCAATTTTTGTTTCAGAGTTTCAGGTCTGACATTAAGGTCTTTGATCCGTCTGGAGTTGACTTTTGTGCAGGGTGAGAGAGATAAGGGGCCAATTTCATTATTCTACATATGGATATCCAGTTTTCCCAGCACCCTTTGTTGAAGATTGTGTGTTTTTAGCATCCTGTGACCAAGAATCTTAGCCAAACTATAATCTGAACTACTGGACATTCTAGTGTACTTGCTTGTAAAGTCCAATTAGATTCCTCCACCCTTGGCAGGGTCTCTCCATAGCCTTGGCTGTCCTGGAACTCACAATGTAGACCAGGCTGCCCTTGAACTCAATATCTGCCTTCCTCTACCTCCTAGAATGCTGGTATTAAAGGCATGCCACCATGTCCAGCCCAAACTCTTTAAGTACAATATATTCAGAGTATACTGGTCATTGCAGTGATTCTAATGATCCTGTTTTAAAAGTATCATTTAAAATAGTTTTACAAGCTGGGTGTGGTGGTGCACACCTGTAATCCCAGCACTCAGGGGGACAGAGGCAGGCAGATCTCTGTGAGTTCTTGGCCGGCCTGGTCTACAAAAGTCCGGGACAGCCAAGGCTACTCAAAGAAACCCTGCCTCGGAAAACCAAAAATAAATAAATAATAAATTTTGATAATAAATATTAATGAAGATGAATGGCAATAACAGAGGTTCAAAGTTAAATCCCTGCTAGGGAGGAGAAAGGAAATACTTGAGTTGAGGGCCTGAGGCTGTAGCTTAATTGGAAGAGTACTTACCTAGCATACACAAATCTCTGGATGAAGGCTCCAGCACCATAGAAAACTGGGTATGTTCTAGCTAAGCAGAAGGTATCCTGGGATACCTAAGACCCCACAATGCCTCAAATAAATTATTAGTGCTGAGAAAAGCTACAGTTCATGGTTAAAATGTACTTCTGTCATGAAGCTGCCATCATATCTATAGGTACACCAAGGATTGAGGAAAGTTGGCAGGAATTGAAGCAGAGGCCAACAACCAGGCTTAGCCCCCATGGCTTGCTCAGCCTGCTCTCTTAGACTACCTAGAACACCTGCCTTGGGGTGAGCCTGCCCCACTGTTGGCTCTCCCTCATCAATCATTATCAGGAGAATGCCCTTCGGACCTGTCCACAGGCAATCTGATGGAAGCATTTTCTCGGTTGAGATTCTTTTTACCCAGATAACTCTAGTTTCTCTCAAGTTCACAAACCAACCCTGACGCTTGTCTCAAAAAATAAGAAAGACTGTAATAGACAAAGATACCTGAAGCTGACCTTTGGCCTCCATCCATTTGTGCCCTTCTGAGTTCTCCCATGCACACATACACAATAAAAATTTAAATACAGAAAGCTGGAAAGAGTTTGATTGTTTTACTATAGGGTTTTATTTTTAAATTCCCAGGGTTCTGGGGCTGGAGAGCTGGCTCAGTGGTTAAGAGCACTGGTTGCTCTTCCAGAGGTTCAGAGTTTAATTCCCAGCAACCGCATGGTGGCTTACAACCATCCAGACTGGGATCCCATACCCTCTGGTGTGCAGATGTACAGGAAAGCAGAGCACTCATGAAATACCTAAAGAAATGTTATTAAAAAAGTTACATCTATAAAAAATCCTAGTGTTCTAAATAAGTATATACACATAAATAAAAGTGAAACTTAGAAAACAGCCTCTATTATTGTAGAGCCTAGCGTCTATTTAAACTGATGGCTTCAGCTAGCTGGGAAATAGAATACAACCTACTGATTGTGTGAGCTCCAGGGAGAAGGCTCTAAGGTAGAATGCCAGCACCATGTGGTGGTGTGGCTGTGTTTAAGTGGGTCTTATAAGGAGACACTCTCAGAAAACAATGGTTTCTTTGTAATAAATGAGAATATTAAAAGCCAAAAGTGTAGGATGTTTCATTGCTGGAAAGGTAGATTGCATCTAGTTTTAAAAAGAAGAGAAACCTGAGAGTAATGACCACCACAGCCTATGGATGGAGGAAAGATATGGCTGAAGAGACACCATCAAGTGAAGTAGATGCCCACCCAGAAACAATGGCTTTAATCTCTTATTTGCAGATTCTGGCAGAGACCAGGGAGAAGACCCTTAACCATCATCTTTTTTTCCTTTAACTTTGGTTTTTTTGGGGAACAGTCTCATTCCATACTCATGCTGGGTTAGAACTCATTATGTAGCCCAGGCTGACCTTGAACCCATGCCTCCTATCTCGGCCTAGCAAGTGTGTGGGTTACAGAGGTGAGCTGTCATGACTGATCCATGCTTCCTCCGTGTATTACGTTTCTGTCACCCGTGAAAGAAACATCGGAAACAAGGCAACTTAGTAAAGTGAGAATTCATTTGGGCTTGTGGTGCCAGAGGGTTAGAGTCCATAGTGGTAGGAACAGCATGGCAGATGGCAGCTTAGAATCTGCCTGTTGAGCTACAAACACAAGACAAGAGAAAACTGCAAGTAGGCAAGTCTTTTTATTCTTAAAGTCCAACCCACAGTGACACGCTTCGCCCAACATGACTGCACTGAACTGGCAGGTTATTCTTTAGTGACAGGGTCCTAAGTAGGAGATGACCATTAGATAAGAAGATAGACAGAAAGTATAGGGTCAGGAGGTCTCACACAAGCTCTGCCTTATGACAAGCAAGCTTATTAAAAAGTACAGCATCTTATATACAATTTCCAGGGGAAGAAATGGGACGCACGAGGTCAGCAGGAACTGTCACACAAAGGGACGAAGTCAACAGGAAGGTAAATCAAACAGTGTTACACAAGGGGAACATGGGGTATCTCAAGAACATGAGAGCCCAGAGTACACAGTGGCCTTGGACTGATAACCACAGCCCATAGCCCCAGATGGTGGGAAGAGTTGGGTTCTCAGGAGCTGAAGCCAAAGAGCCCTCCCACCCAAGGCCCTGACCCCAGGCCATTACTGGGTCTGCCAAGCATGTTCCTTCTCAGTAAGTCCACCAGAGCCTCAGGCAAAGACTCCTGAATCTGGCCCTCAACAGTGCACCACTTAAACCTCCCCCAATTGTGCCACCGTCGTAGGGTTTCTATTTTTGTGATTAAAACACCATGACCAAAAACAACTTGGAGGAGAAAAGTTTATTTAATAGTACAATTTGTAACCATTCAGGGAAGTCAGGGCAAGAATTCAAGGCAGAAACCTGAGGGTAGGAATTAATGCAGAGGCCACAGAAAGAGGCTGTTTGGTGCCTTGCTCCTCATGGCTTGCTCAGCCTGTTTTCTTGTAGCACCCAGCACCAGCTGCCAAGAGTGGTACCACTCACACTGAACTGGGCCCTCCCACATCAATCATCAATCAAGGACATGGACCACAGGCCAATCTGGTGAAGACATTCTCTCAATTGAAGTACCCAAAGGACTGGTTTGTCTCAATGTAATGTAAAACTAGTCAGCACAACCACCAACTGAGGACCAGTTGTTCACATGCCCAAGGCTATGGGGAGAGGGAGAATTTGTCATTCAAACCACCACACTCCTCTTATACACCTCAGGAAATCTCTACCAATCAGCAAGTGTTTCTTTGCTGTTCTATGGTGTGAGGAGTCTGCTGTGCTGTCCGTATAACAAAGCAGATGACTAGAGAATGTATGACCCATCAAAAAGAACTGACAGGAAGGTGTATGAAATGTGAACGCCTTGAGTGGGGTTACTTATTTGGGCTTTGAGAGTTTTCCCAGTGGATTTAAGCATCACTCTTGACAGAGGTGACTGACTTGTTAACACATTGTATGCCTATCTTCTTTCTGTCTCATTTCCCTGTTTTTTTTTTTCAAGCCTTTACTTATCAAATTAAGCTTTAGAACATCTTTAATCCCAGCAATTGGGAGGCAGAGGCAGGTCTCTAAGTTCAAGGACAGCCTGGTCTATAGAGTGAGTTCCAGGACAGCCAGTGCTACATAGAGAAACTCTGTCTCAAAAGACAAAAACCGACCGACCAACCAACCAACCAACCAACCAACCAAACCTCTTATATAACAGAATGTTTGGAGGCTGGGGATATTAGCCAGTTGGTAGGATGCTTGCCTATCATGCACAAAACCCAGATTAAATCAAAAGTATCACTTAACCCAAGTTGGTGCAAGCCTACAACCCCAGCACTTGCAGGTAGAGGAAGGAGGAGCGGAAGTCCAGTGTCATCCTGGCCTACACAATGAGTTCAAAGGCAGCCTGGACTTATATGATATCATGTTTTGTTTTTTTTTTTTAAGGTTTTTGTTTTTTGTTTTTTGGGGAGGTAGTGGGGGGGGGGGGGTGCAGAACCTGAACTAAAACAAAGACCCAAGACATGTGCTGCTATTATGTGACTCTTCCTGGAGAATTGTGAAAAAGAAAAAAATCTATTCATCCTAGAAAGGGGTGACC